TGGCATGATGCCGCTGTGGTCATGGTTCGTGACTAAGCGAGCCTTCCGTGCATTTTCAAAGCTCTTTCTTCATCGTCCAATATTGCTCGTTGTTTAGCCTCTTGAAGGCCTGTTACCGCAACTAATAAAAAAACGCGAAACCTTTAATTCGTTCCGCTGAATAAACAGACTGGAAATTTGACAACCTGTTTTAATTCATGTCAGACTGAGTCAAACAAAGTTTTGCTGATTAGGAGCATACTACATAACTGACCGTGACAAACTCACGGTAAAATCAAGGGAGCAATATTGATAACTTAGCCTCAGTGTCACGAATGTTGCTTATGGTTTACATAATAAATCTTTATATTTCATTTGGATATAAAGAGAGTGTTGTTTTTGCATAAAACCAATCTGAGAACTGTAGACCCGACACCTCACTCTTTCTTAGCGGGATGGTGGATATCATGGAGCTGTGCTACTGGTTGCTCATAATGTTTCATCTGTTTGGTCTCTTCCACAACGCACGACTATTAACCAGCTGCTTCAAGGACAAAACGAAATACACGATTCTTCAGAAAAGCAGGCCACTGATGATTTGCCAGAGTATTTTACAGCTCATCCTTCTCAGTTTGAATGCCAACGAGGCCACAATAGCTTTCAAAAACAAACAGGAGGAGGAGTGGTGCGGAACAAACAGCATTCTGATGACTTCTGTTGGATTCCTTATGATTTACAACATTTTGGCAATGCTGGCAATCGAGCATCACACTATAATCGGCCTCACGAAGGCAATATCTCCCAAAGCAGCATTGATTTTTCTTGTAGTCATCAGTGGTGGTATTGGATTATTCTTGGTTATTTTCTCCGCCGCAGATTTGTGTTCATCTCATCTTGCCATAACTGTGGCCTGCTTGCTGATCATGGGCCTTGTCTTTGTGGTGTCGTGGAGAATTTGCACCTTTACTGAGGACGACTCGGAGGAACTGGCAGACACGAATACTTTCCTAGGCTTTTTAAGAAAAAATAAGATGTCTGTGTGTTATACGATTTTGATTTCCATAGGTATAATAACAATTATAGCTTTGGATGTAACCTGCTCTGTCATATACCGTTTCCAAAATTCTGAAGAAATGCTCCGATGTATAAGGTTTGTCGAGAGGGTTATTTACCTCTACGTCATGTGTTTTGCTGTCGGTATTTCTCTTCCATTGCATTTTAGACAAATAATTGAGTGCGGCTGCGTTGAAGAAACGGACGTTAAAGCCATTGGGGTGTGAAATTAAGAACGATTCGCATAATCCACCAGAAAATGGTTAATATACGGAATGGTCCAGTGCTCTCAAGTCAGAATTATCTATCTGCCTTGTAAAGAATTATGACTTGCAGCCATGTTCTTGGGTCGGGGACGGCTAGCTTTGAGGTAGTTCAACGATGCTGATGAGCTCTATGATATACGCAAATGACCATTGAATTCAATAAAAAGCTCTGTTTTGAGATGTGTACATTAGGCAGAACGCAATATGCGACCTCCAGAAGAAAAGTACAGGTTCCTATTGCTATAGCACCAATCGTAAATAGTAGCAGTGCTCTATATCGGGACTCAAAGAAATGTCTAATGAGTCGCGCCTCCATTTCGAGCCCCATTATACCATTTACAAGCACTCGAGTATATTTTTCATACCTTTTTGCTGTTTACTCATTTTAAGTAATGAATGAATCATGACATATATAATTTTGTTATTGACAAATAAAATTTGCGTTTTTATCAAACAATAGCATTTTCGGTCCATGTTTGTCAGCTTATAAATACTTATGTTTGTCAGCTTATAAATACTTAGAAAGTATGAAAATTAAGGAATCCGACTTGCTCTATAATCAACATAGTACGTTTTTTGTTCTACTAAATTATGGTGGCCCATACTGTTTGTTTAACGGTGTTCTCATTCCCAGACTTGAATATCAATAAAAACTGAAAAGTAATAAAAAATAACTGAAAGCTTGACAGTCTGATTGTAATTGTTACACTTTTATCTGTACTCGAGGTTATGTTCATGATATAAGGCTGAAGAGGAAGCCGTCTTCTGAACAAAGAGAAAAAACAACCTATCCTCAAATTTAACTTATCCACTTGAACTAACCAGGATAAGCCGCGCTCACTGTTGTTGTTATCATCGTGACACCTTTTGGTAGACCTAGTTGTCTCTTTAAGGGTGAGAGCGCTGACCAAATTCGAACGTGTCGCCTCGATCAAATGACAGAATGGTAAACAGTTAAGAGTCTCATGCTACCTGAGACAGTGAGTCGTAATCAGATGTCAGCTGTTACTTGTTAAGATAAGTTTAAGACTACAGCGACGAGGTTAGGTCCTATTTTACTGGAGTCCAGTAAAAACCTGCAATCGGACTTAACGATCAAACTGCAGTGAACTCTCTCTTACTGATAACGGGCCCCGCAAGGACCAATCTTAGGCCCAGTTCACTGGATTGTCGTGTTCCTGCTGTGTCGAACTCAGTCCAGAAATTAAGTTGGACAAAAGCACGGCGTCGGAATTAAACTTTTTAATCTAGTTCGACAAGCTCTATCGGGCAACACGACTCTGGCGCGACAGCGATTCAAACGTCGTGTCTTCGCTGAGCCAAACAAAATTAAAAAATGCTACTGCTGTATTTTGACGGGATTACGTTCTCATGGGAAGTTACTAGAATGAATTGTTACTTCTCTTCAATAAAGCCTGATACCTGAATCAGAGTCGTGTTTCTGCAGTGCTTAAGTCGAACTTAATTGCATTTAAACACGACGTCTGAATTGGGCCAAACCTGTCTTTCCTGGCGATAGAGGCGTGCGGCTAACTACCGTGACAGCAACAATTGGAAGAGAAATATACAAGTCTGAAAGTTTCTAAAGAAACTGTGGTGCTGCGTCGGTGGGCGTAACAAGATATTTGGTTATATCAACTAAGTTGAAATTGCAAATTGGCCACCGTAACGAATAAAAAAGCTGACGTTTCGAGCGTTAGCCCTTCGTCAGAGCGAATGGAATTGGTTGAATTGGTTGGTTAGAGCGCCGGATTGGGTTGTGCGGGAGGTCGAGGGTTCGAGCCCCGGCCGGACCAATACTTATGGTCTTAAAATAAGTGAGGAGAAATTG